CCTAAGTAGCTGGGATTACAGGCGTGTGCCACCATACCCGACTAATTTTTGTATTTTTAATAGAGATATGATTTCACCATGTTGGTCAGGCCGGTCTCGAACTCCTGACCTCAGGCAATCCGTCTACCTTGGCCTCCCAAAGTGCTGAGATTATAGGCGTGAGCCACCATTACCGGCCTATTATTTTTATTTTTTAGATAAAGGGTCTCACTCCATCACCCAGGCTGCAACGCAGTGGCACAATAATGGCTCACTGCAGTCTCTAACTCCTAGGCTCAAACCATCCTCCTGCCTCAGCCTCATGAGTAGGCTGGGACTACAGGCACATCACCACAGCTGGCTTTGGCGCAACAGCTTCAAATCCACATGACCTGTGCCCTTCTGACACAGCGCTCAATGTTCTCGACCTTATGAGCCACCCTCAGACAGTGAGGGAGATTCAGGCGGGGAGTCACAGCTCCCGAAAAAGCTCTTTACACAGTGAGCACTAAGCGAGTATTTTAAATAAACGATACCAAGGTAAAAAGACTGTATTATTACTGCAAACATAGAAAAGCGTTACAGCAACAGGAAAGCAATGCAAAAGACTCTAATAATAGTTGTTTCTAGTGGGTACAAATTTTTTCAAATATTTTGCTATTTTTTCTGAGATGTAAATGTATTTTTTAGAAAAAAAAATTAAGTTCATTTTGGAAAATATCCAAAATTTTTAGCAAATACCACTTTCACCTAATAAAAATTGTTCTCTTGAAAGATGGATAAAGAATAAAAGAATAGGCCAGGCACGGTGGCTCACGCCTGTAATCCCAGCACTTTGGGAGGCTGAGGCAGGCAGATCACGAGGTCAGGAGTTCGAGACCAGCTTGGCCAACATAGTGAAACCCCGTCTCTACTAAAAATACAAAAATTAGCTGGGCATGTTGGCGCTCCCCTGTGGTCCCAGCTACTCAGGAGGCTGAGGCAGGAGAATCACTTGAACCCGGGAGGTGGAGAGGTTGTGGTGACCTGAGATCGTGTCACTGCACTTCAGCCCAAGCAACAGAGTAAGACTCTGTCTCAAAATTTAAAAAAAGAAAGAAAAGAATAAACCTTGGTTTTACTATAGAGAAGAATTTGTTAACAGCTACTAAAATTACAAATGCACATATGCTTTCCCAGCAATTGCACTTTCAGGAATTAAACCTACAGATGCATTACATACATGGCAGGTTGGAAGATTAATTGCTTCATTATTTGTCAAGCAAAATGACAACCTAATAATAGTCCATAGGAGCACTGCTGTTTAAATATAGTAGCCCATAGATAAAAATGCCATTCCACCCTAAAGAAAAATAAATAAACTATATATCTATAATGAAAGATCTCCAAAACACGCTGTCAAGAAAAAATAAACCCAAAGAAGTTCTTATTCCCATAAGAGAGCAGTAGACTGTATCAAAATAACTCTCACAGAGTGAGATTATGAACTCTAGATAAAATGTGAAAAACAATCTTCTGAAGGCACTGGAGATAAACAAGAAATAAAAAAGGAACTTGGAATTTACATGACCCTTGAAAGAAGGGAACATCATTGGGCAAGATCCACTTTTATATTTCTTTACTCCTGAGAGTACACCCCAGTCTGAGAGGAGTGGAGAAGAGAAAAAAAGAATTTTACTGGCCTGAGGGGTTAAGGAAGGATTTGAGACTGCTAAAGAAGCTAGAAATTGAGAGCGAAATCTAGGAAAGGAAGGAACCACTAAAAAGTAACCCAAAGTCTGAGTATAAGGTCCCCTCAAATCTGTGGCTGAACCCTGAACTGCCTAAGTGGGGGTGAGACTCCCAAAAGCCCAGAAAGGACACAATAGCTTGAAGGTTGAAGGAGCTGAGCTGATGGCCGGGCACAGGGGCTCACGCCTGTAATCCCAGCACTTTGGGCAGCCAAGGCAGGATGATCGCTTGAGGTCAGGAGTTTGAAACCAGCCTGGGCAACATGGTGAGACCCCATTTCTAAAAAAATTAAAATTGGCCAGATAGTGCATGCCTATAGTCCTAGCTACTTGGGAAGCTAAGCTGAGAAAATAGCTTGGGCCCAGAAGTTTAGGGTCACTGTAAAGTACAATCACACCACTGCACTCCAACCTGGGTGACAGAGCAAGATCTGTCCCAACAACAACAGAAAAAAGCTGAGATTTTAGCTTTCCCTAGCTGCAGGGTAGATGAGAGTTTGGCGTTCCAGTCTTGTCTTGGGGCTATCCATCTGAAATGCCACAAGGGTCACATCACAGGAGTCAAAAGTATATTCCAGGACTAAGAGGTTTTACCCTAAGGACGAAGATCAAAACTGATCTACCACAACAAACTGTAAAACCCAGCCAGGTGCAGGAAGACAGCTTGAGGCCAGGAGTTCAAGACCAGCCTGCGCAACATACTGAGAGTCCACCTCTATAAAAAAATTTTTTTTTCATTAGCCAGGCACAGTGGCGCATGCCTGTAGTCCCAGCTACTAAAGAGGCTGGGGTGGGAGGATGGCTTGAGCCTGGGAGGCAGAGGTTGCAGTGAGCTGAAATCATGCCACAGCACTCCAGCCTGAGTGACAGTGAGACTCTGTCTCAAAAAAAAAAAAAAAAAAAAAAAACCACAAAAGGTCAGCCATGGTGGCTCATGCCTGTAATCCTGGCACTTGGGGAGGCCAAGGCAAGTGGAGTACCTGAGGTCAGGAGTTCAAGACCAGCCTGGCCAACATGGCAAAATGACATCTCCACTAAAAACACAAAACTTAGCCATGCGTTGTGGTGCATGCCTGTAATCCCAGCAACCTGGGAGACTGTGGCAGGAGAATCACTCGAATCGAGGGGTGGAGGTTACAGTGAGCTGAGACTGCACTCCAGCCTGGGCGACAGAGCCATACTCCATCTCAAAAAAAAAAAAAAAACAGAAAACTCAGCCAGGCGCAATTGCTTACACCTGTAATCCCAGCACTTTGGGAGGCTGAGGCAGGCAGATGACCTGAGGTCGGGAGTTCGAGATCAGCCTGACCAACATGGAGAAAGCCTGTCTCTACTAAAAATACAAAACTATCCAGGCGTGATGATGATGCGTGACTGTAATCCTAGCTACTCGGGAGGCAGAGGCAGAAGAACTGCTTGAACCCAGGAGACAGAGGTTGTGGTGAGCCATGATCATGCCACTGCACTCCAGCCTGGGCAACAAGAGAGAAATTCTGTCTCAAAAAAAAAACAAAAAACAAAAAAAGAAAACTCAGTGAATCCCAAGCATCATAAATACAAATGTATCCATACCTGAACACATCATAAACCAACTGCTGAAAATCAAGTATAAAGAAATTCTTCAAACTGTCAAAGAAGACATTCAATATGACAAAAATGACAGATAACTTCTCAAGTGAAACAATGGATCCCAGAAAGTAATGAATCTACATCTTTAAAATGCTGAAAGAGGCTGGGCATGATGGCTCATGACTTGGGAGGCTCAGGCGGGCAGATCACTGGAGTACAGAAGTTGAAGACAGCCTGGCCAACATTGTGAAATCCTGTTGCTACTAAAAATAAAATAAAATAAAATAAAAATAGCTGCGTATGGCGGTGTGTGCCTATAATCCCAACTACCAGGGAGGCTGAGGCAGGAGAATCGGTGGAGGTTGCAGTGAGCCAAGATCGTATGCGGCACTCCAGCCTGGGTGACAAAGTGAGACACTGTCTCAGGAAAAAAAAAAAAATGCAGAAAGAAAACAGTCAACCTAGAATTCCATATCCTGTAAAACAGGTCCCCAACCCCCAGGCCACACAGACAGGTCTAGGTCCATGGCCTGTTAGGAACCAGGCTGTACACAGCAGGAGGTGAGCAGATGGCCAGCGAGCATTACCACCTGATCCCCACCTCCTGACAGAGTGGGCTGCATTAGATTCTCACAGGAACACAAACCCTGAACCCCCAGTGAAGGGATCTAGGCTGTGTGCTCCTCATGAGAATCTAATGCCTGATGATCCGAGGTAGAACAGTTTCATCCCAAAACCTTTTCCCCACTCCAGTCTATGGAAAAACTGTCTTCCACAAAACCGGTCCCTGGTGCCAGAAAGGTTGGGGACTGCTGCTGTAAAACTATCCTTCAAAAATGAAGACAAAATAAAGATATTTTCAGATAACAAAAGGTGAAACAACGTGTCAGACCTACACCATGAAAAATTATAAGCAAGGTCTTCAGGCTAAGATCTAAAAATAAAATCCTAAGCACCCCAACTGATTGAACGAAGTCGGTTTTGGCCAAGGGGACCCCAAATAAACCTTAAAAACTGAGTTCCCAGCCATGACATGATGGGAGGGTAGACACACCTCATTATATTCCCTCCCTTCTGCAGTTTAGACACAACTGACCAGCATTAATGTTAAAATAGAGATCATAAAACTGACAGAACGGACATTGTGGCAATAAAATAACAAATTACAAACAAGACCTAAAACCTTCAGTCACACAGTTCTACTTTTTGTTTTGAGATGGAGTCTCGCCTGTAGCCCAGGCTGGAGTGCAGTGGTGCCATCTTGGCTAACTGCAACCTCTGACTCCTGAATTCAAGCGATTCTCCTGCCTTAGCCTCCAAGTAACTGGGACTACAAGCACATACCACCAGCCCAGCTAGTATTTGTAGCTTTAGTAGAGACGGGGTTTCACCATGTTGGCTACGATGGTCTCAATCTCTTGACCTCCTGATCTGCCCTCCTCGGCCTCCCAAAATGCTGAGATTACACATGCCAGCCACCATACCCAGCCACACAGCCCTTTTTTTTTTTTTTTTTTTGAGACGGAGTCTGGCTCTGTCACCCAGGCTGGAATGCAGTGGCACAATCTGGGCTCACTGCAACCTCCACCTCCCAGGTTCAAGCGATTCTCCTGCCTCAGCCTACCGAGTAGCTGGGATTACAGGCACCCACCACCACATCCAGCTAATTTTTTGTATTTTTAGTAAAGATAGAGTTTCACAGTGTTGGCCAGGCTGGTGTCAAACTGCTGACCTCATGATCCACCTGCCTCGGCCTCCCAAAGTGCTGGGATTACAAGCATGAGCCACCATGTCCGGCCCACAGTCCTACTCTTAAAGATAAACTCTGTTCCAACTGCCATAGGTTTCCGTCTAGCTGTCAAACAAGCACTGTCCTGGATAAGCAATAGAAAAACAATTGCAGCTCACTACCAGTTGCTAACAGACCTCCTGTTCCACAAGCCAAAACTACAGCTGTTACTGGATAAGAGACTGACTTCAGTAACTCTCTCCTGACAAGAAGACAACCAGCCATGAACTGGTTCTAGCCAGTTTACAGAGGCTGTGTACTTGAGTGCCCCGTTATCCTTGCTTCATCTTTTGAGGTAAGTGGCCTGATTATAACATATTTAAATGTTGTCTCCACCCCAAGGTGAACATGGAATACAAATATGCCTGTCAAGAAAAATAACTGTCAGGTACTACACTTAGTATCTGGGTGATGAAATAATCTCTACACCAAACCCACATAACAGAAGTTTACCTATATAACAAACCTGTACATGTACCCCTGAACCTAAAAGTTCTTTAGACATGCATGTTTGGGCCAAGCATGGTGGCACACGCCTATAATCCCAGCACTTTGGGAGGCTGAGGTGGTCAGATCACCTGAGGTCAGGAGTTCGAAACCAACCTCGCCAACATGGTGAAACCCCGTCTCTACTAAAATACAAAAATTAGGCCAGCTGTGGTGGCTCACACCTGTAATCCTAGCACTTTGGGAGGCCGAGGCAGGCACATCACTTGAGGCTAGGAGTTTGATTGAGATCAGCCTGGTCAACACGGTGAAACCCTGTCTCCACTAAAAACACAAAAATTCGCCAGGTGTGGAGGTGGGCGCCTGTAATCCCAGCTACTCAGGAGGCTGAGGCAGGAGAATCACTTGAACCTGGGAGGTCGAGGTTGCAGTGAGTCAATATTGTGCCACTGTACTCCGGCTTGGGTGACAAGAGCAAAATTCTGTCTCAAAAAACAAAACAATAAAATAAAGTGCATGTCTGGCTTCTTCTACAAGAAAACACCAAATGGTGGATGGCGCTGGTGCAGCCGGGGGACCCAGAGGCCCCAGGGGCACTGGCATAGAGAACCGTGGTGGCTTCCACAGAGGTTTCAGCAGTGGCATCTGGGGCCAAGGTCGCAGCCGTTGATGGGACCGGGGCCGGGGCCAAGGCCATGGAGCTTGCAGAGGCAAGGCCAAGGATAAGGAGTGGATGCCCATCACCAAGCTGGACCGCCTGGTCAAGGACATGAAGATCAAATCCCTGGAGGAGATCTATCTCTTCTCCTTGCCCATCAAGGAATGTGAGCTCACTGACTTTTTCCTTAGGGACTCTCAAGAATGAGAGTTTGAAGATTATGCCGATATAGAACCAAACCCATGCTGGCCAGCGTACCAGGTTCAAGGCGTTTGTTGCCATTGGGGATCACAACAGCCACGTTGGTCTGGGTTTTAAGTGCTCCAAGGAGGTGGTCACTGCCATCCACCGGGCCATCATCCTGGCCAAGCTCTCCATTGCCCCAGTGCGCAGAGGCTACTGGGGGAACAAGATTGGCAAGCCCTCCACCATCCCTTCCAAGGTGACAGGCTGCTGAGGCTCTGTCCTGGTGCCCCTCATTCCCACACCCAGGGGCACTGGCATCGTCTCGGCGCCTGTGCCCAAGAAACTGCTCATGATGGCTGGTATGGATGACTGCTACACCTCAGCCAGGCGCTGGACTGCCACCCTGGGTAACTTTGCCAAGGCCACCTCTAAGACCTATAGCTACCTGACCGCTGACCTTTGGAAAGAGACTGTATTCACCCAGTCTCCCTAACAGGAATTCATTGACCATTCTGTCAAGATCCACACCAGAGTCTCTGTGCAGAGGACCTAGGCTCCCGCTGTGGCTACAACATAGGGTTTTTATACAAGAAAAATAAAGTGAATTAACCCTGAAAAAAAAAAAAAAAAAAAAAAGCATGTCTGTTCAGTACACATGCATCAGGACCCCCTCCATGAATATTCATAACTCCTCCTATAACCTGTTGAATATATATACTTGGTCAACCCATTCAGCACAAATTCCTGTTCCAACCCCTCCTCCTCTGAAGTGCCTACCTTTCAGGCTCTGCCAAAGGCTAGCCTTTCCAGCCTGCGGGATGGCCAACCCCCTTTGTAAGAAATAAAGTATCCTTTCCAAATATGTAGATCTCTTAAATTTTAAGTTGACAAGGCCAAAGGTAAATTATTCCAGGTGGAAATATTCCAGAGGAAATAAAAGTGCTAAAAATGATAAACAGAGGAATAAATAGAAAAGGTCAATATTTTTTCTCTTTTTTTTTAAAGTCAAATTATGGTTTTCCCTTTGTCTACAGGATGAGGGGGATGGGGAATGGGAGCGGTATCAGTGTGGCAAGCTTGAAGAGGGCAGAATGCCCAGGGCCCAGCAATAGGTCAGCATGCATGTCAAGGACAAGACAAGAAGCACGTCCGGAGATGAGCTTTCTAACGGGCCATTATCCCATGTCTTCTCACTATCCCTTCCCCTTCCTCAGGTCCACACTTTTGGCCAGTGATGTCCACAATGTCCACAGCCAGTTCTGGATTAGCACACGTGCAGTAGGATTAGAGCAGGCATGTCTGGGACCAACTCTGGCTCAACATGAGGAAAATTGAGAGAGTCAAGCCCACCTTCAGCCAGTCAGCAGGGCCCAGGAACAGCATGGTCAGGGCTGAGCTTTGTAATTGGCCTTTTCCCTTTTTTCATCCTCACTTCCCCCTCCCTTTCATCAAACCTAAGATTTTGGCCAGTGAACCCAGGAAGGGGAAGGGAGTATTTCTTAGTTCAGCTTTAGGACAGCATGCCCAGCGGCAGACTGTGGGGCAGGAACAGTGGCATGTCTTCAGCTGAGTTTGGCTGGCACAGCCAGGAGTACTAACCTACAGGGAGACTAAGCAAAACGGCAAATACACCGAAGAAAACAGGAACCAGGTTTTTCGCTGTTGGAAAAGCAAGGTATGAATGTAGCCTCCGCCTTCCGAGTTCAAGTGATTCCCCTGCCTCAGCCTCCCAAGTATCTGGGACTATAGGCGCATGCCACCACACCTGGCTAATTTTTTGTATTTCAGTAGAGACAGGGTTTCACCATGCTGAGGTTTCACCAGAGCCAGGATGGTCTCAATCTCCTGACCTCATGATCCACCTGCCTCGGCCTCCCAAAGTGTTGGGATTACAGGCATGAGCTACCACGCCCAGCCTGAACTCTAATTTTTAATACATAAATAGATCCAAAAAAGAAGGATGTATGTGTATGTAAACCTCCCCAGCTCTGCCTGCTAAGAGAACCTAGAAGAAAAAACACCTTAGTAGCAATGAGCACACCTACTGAACAGACCTTGGTTTCCAAATACCATTTCCACTAAAAGCAAGAAGGACTACTTGGACAACTGTCTGGTTCCAGGGCTGGGACAGGGAAAAATAAGATTAGCCTGAAACATCTTATTTTAGCAAATGTAAAAAAGTGTTCAAAGAGGCTGGGTAAGGTGGCTCATGCCTATAATCCCAGCACTTTGGGAGGTCGAGGCAGGTGGATCACGAGGTCAGGAGATCAAGACCATCCAGGCCAACATGGTGAAACCCCGTCTCTACTACAAATACAAAAAACTTAGCTGGGCATAGCGGCACACACCTGCAGTCCCAGCTACTTGGGAGGCTGAGGCAGGAGAACTGCTTGAACCCAGGAGGCGGAGACTGCAGCGAGCTGAGATCATGCCACTGCACTACAGCCTGGGCGACAGTGAGAGACTCTGTCTCAAAAAAAAAAAAAAAGAAAGTGTTGAAAAACAAGAAGGATGAGAAGGACTTGTCGAAAAGACGCCAGATGTACAACATGAATATTCTTGGCGCTACTAAACTGTACACTTAAAAATGGTTAAGACTGGCCAGGTGTGGTAGTTCAGTCCTGTAATCCCAGCACTTTGGGAGGCCGAGGGTGGGAGGATAGCCTGGCCCAGGAGTTCAAAACTAGCCTGGGGAACACGGCCAAAAAAAAAAAAAAAGATTAAGATAGTACATTTTGTTACATGTTTGTTTTTTCACTGAAATTAAAAATTAAAATAAAAAAAAGACACCAGAGCCAGCTTCAAGTGGTTCCCACTGGCTGAGTTTGGGACAATTTGAGCTTCAAAATAAATAAGGATACTAGAGGACTACAGTCTTGCAAGTAAGAATAAATAAGAACTTTAAAATGAAGAAACTTGGCAACACTATCTTAACCAAGCAACCACAGTTAACAGCACCAACATGGGACAAATCGACATAATTTTCCCTGATATGATGTCATGAGAAGAACACATGATCCCTGTGGCAGTCCTACCAAAAATACTAAAGTCATGAGAACAAACAGACCCAACTGAGGGTCATTCTACTAAGTAACTGACCCATAATCTTCAAAAATAGCAATCATCAAAGACAAGAAAAGACTAGGAACCAATTCAGATTCAAAGAGCCTAAAGAGACATGCAAACCAAATGCAACACATAATCCTGAATCTATAAAATCTATGAATCCTAGGGCTATGTGAAGAAGGTATCATAAAAATCAGCAAGTCTGAGTGGGGTCATGAATTATGCAGCAAGATGGAATGGATGTCAATTTCCCGATTTCAATGGTGTCAGAATGGTGAGGTTAGAGTCCCCTTGTACTGAGGAAGGTACAGTCGAAGTGTTAAAGGGTCATGGGACATTACGTCTACAATTCTACAGTTTATTCTTTTTTTTTTTTTTTTTTTTGAGAGAGTCTCACATTGTTGCTCAGGGTGGAGTGCAATGGCGCGATCTTGGCTCACCACAACCTCCGCCTCCTGGGTTCAAGCGATTCTCCTGCCTCAGCCTCCCACTGGGATTACAGGTGCACATCACCACACCTGGCTAATTTTTTGTATTTTTAGTAGAAATGGTGTTTTACTACGTTGGTCAGACTGGTCTCAAATTCCTGACCTCGTGATCCGGCCACCTCAGCCTCCCAAAGTACTGGGATTACAGGTGTGAGTCACCACACCCAGCCTACAGTTTATTCTTAATGGTTCAGAAATGTTAACACTTGAGGGATTTGGGTGGAAGGTATATGGGTGCTCTGTGTCCTCTGTATATACTCTGCCTGATTTATATCTACTACGTATATATATTTGAATCATTTCAACATAAAAAGGTTAAAAGTCTATTGTTTCAAGCAAAAAAAAAATGTAATGTAAGATTTATAACATGTATAGAAAGAAATATGGCTAGGCACAGTGGCTCACATCTGTAATCCCAGCACTTTGGGAGGCCGAAGCAGGTGGACCACCTGAGGTTGGGAGTTTGAGACCAGTCCGACCAATAGGGAGAAACCCTGTCTCTACTAAAAATACAAAATTAGCTGGGCATGGTGGCACATGACTGCAATCCCAGCTACTTGGGAGGCTGAGGCAGGAGAATTGCTAGAACCTGGGAGGCAGAGGTTGCAGTGAGCAGAGATTGTACCATTGTACTCCAGCCTGGGCAACAAGAGCCAAACTCTGTCTTGATCTCTCTTTTTTGAGACAGAGCCTCACTTTGTCGCCAGACTGGAGTGCAGTGGCGCGATCTCAGCTCACTGCAACCTCCACCTCCCAGCTTCAGGCGATTCTCCTGCTTCAGCCTCCCAAGTAGCTGGGACTATAGGCACACGTCACCACACGCAGCTAATTTTTTACTTTTAGTAGAGACAGGGTTTCACCATGTTGGCCAGGATGGTCTCAATCTCTCAACCTCATGATCTGCCCGCCTCGGCCTCCCACCACAGTGCTAAGGATTACAAGCGTGAGACATCGTGCCCGGCAGAAACTCCGTCTCAAAAAAAAAAAAAAAAAAAGAAAAGAAAGAAAGAAAATATATGCCCAAAAGCCAAAAGTGTGCAAATAACAGGAGGGAGTAAAAATGGAATGATACTGCTGACAGGTTCTTATACAAGAAAGAAATGATACAACATTAATGGACAGTAATCTGTGACAAGATATGGATATATATAATAATATCTAGAGGAGCAAAAAAGCCAGTAGCAATAGAACAGTGTTAAAAATACTCAACCTGATACCTGTTAATCATCTCTGCCTATGATAATAAAAAAGAAAAAAAATACTCAACCAAAAATGAGAAACAAAGAAAGAAAGCACAAAGGGAAAGAGAAAACAAAAAGCAAAATGACAGACTTAAACACAATGATATCAATTATTATATTAAACGTAAACTTCACAAACCAACAGCCAATATCATACTGAATGGGCAAAAACTGGAAGCATTCCCTTTGAAATCTGGCACAAGACACGGATGCCCTCTTTCACCACTCCTATTCAGTATAGTATTGGAAGTTCTAGCCAGAGCAATCAGGCAAGAAAAAGAAATAAAGGGTATTCAAATAGGAAAGGAGGAAGTCAAATTGTCTCTATTTGCAGATGACATGATTGTATATCTAGAAGACCCCATCGTCTCAGCCCAAAATCTCCTGAAACTGATAAGCAACTTCAGCAAAGTCTCAGGATACAAAATCAATGTGCAAAAATCACAAGCATTCCTATACACCAATAACAGACTTAAAGAGAGCCAAATCAAGAACGAACTGCCATTCACAATTGCTACAAAGAGAATAAATTACCTAGGAATACAACTAACAAGGAACATAAAGGACCTCTTCAAGGAGAACTACAAACCACTGCTCAACGAAATAAGAGAGGACACAAACAGATGGAGAAACATTCCATGTTCATGGTTAGGAAGCATCAATATTGTGAAAATGGCCATACTGTCCAAAGTAATTTACAGATTCAAAGCTATCCCCATCAAGCTACCAATGACCTTCTTCACAGAACTGGAAAAAACCACCTTAAACTTCATATGGAACCAAAAGAGAGCCTGCATAGCCAAGTCAATTCTAAGCAAAAAGAACAAAGCGAGAGGCATCACACTACCAGACTTCAAACTATACTACAAGGCTACAGCTATCAAAACAGCATGGTACTGCTACCAAAACAGAGATATATACCAATGGAACAGAACAGAGGCCTTGGAGGCAACACAACACATCTACAACCATCTCATCTTTGACAAACCTAACAAAAACAAGCAATGGGGAAAGGAGTCCCTGTTTAATAAATGGTGTTGGGAAAAATGGCTAGCCATGTGCAGAAAGCAGAACCTGGACCCCTTCCTGACACCTTACACTAAAATTAACTCCAGATGGATTAAAGACTTAAACATAAGACCTAACACCATAAAAACCCTAGAAGAAAATCTAGGCAAAACCATTCAGGACATAGGCCTAGGCAAGGACTTCATGACCAAAACACCAAAAGCATTGGCAAAAGCTAAAATAGACCAATGGGACCTAATCAAACTCCACAGCTTCTGCACAGCAAAAGAAACAGTAATTAGAGTGAATCGGCAACCAACAGAACGGGAAAAAATTTTTGCAGTCTACCCATCTGACAAAGGGCTGACATCCAGAATCTACAAAGAACTAAAACAGATTTACAAGAAAAAAACAAATAAGCCCATTCAAAAGTGGGCAAAGGATATGAACAGACGCTTTAAAGAAGAAGACATACATGATGCCAACAAACATATGAATAAATGCTCATCATCACTGGTCATTAAAGAAATGCAAATCAAAACCACATTGAGATACCATCTCATGCCAGTTAGAATGGCGATCATTAAAAAATCTGGAGACAACAGATGCTGGAGAAGATGTGGAGAAACAGGAACAGTTTTACACTGTTGGTGGTAGTGTAAATTAGTTCAACCATTGTGGAAGACGGTGTGGTGATTCCTCAAGGACCTAGAAATAGAAATTCCATTTGACCCAGCAATCCCATTACTGGGTATATACCCAAAGGATTATAAATAGCTCTACTATAAGGACACATGCACACGAATGTTCATTGCAGCACTGTTTACAATAGCAAAGACCTGGAACCAACCCAAATGCCCATCGGTGATAGACTGGACAGGGAAAATGTGGCACATATACACCATGGAATATTATGCAGCCATCAAAGACGATGAGTTCATGTCCTTTGTAGGGACATGGATGAACCTGGAAACCATCATTCTCAGGAAACTGACACAAGAACAGAAAATCAAACACCGCATGTTCTCACTCATAGGTGGGTGTTGAACAATGAGAACACATGGACACAGGGAGGGGAGCATCACACACTGGGGTCTGTTGGGGGGAAACGGGGGAGGGACAGCAGGGGGTGGGGAGTTGGGGAGAGAAAGTATGGGGGAAAATGCCAGATATAGGTGAAGGAGAGGAAGGCAGCAAATCACACTTCCATGTGTGTACCTATGCAACAATCTCGCATGTTCTTCACATGTACCCCAAAACCTAAAATGCAATTAAAAAAAAAAAAAAGAAAGTGGGGTAGCTGGGTGTGGCTTGCTCATGCCTGTAACCCCAGCTTCTCAGGAGACTGAGGTTGGAGGATTACTGAGGCCAGGATCTTGAGACCAGCTGGGCAACACAGTGAGACCCCCATCTCTCAAAAAATAAAATAAAATACAATAAAGCACACACATGTATTCCCAGCTACCTGGGAGACTGAGGCAGAAGATCGCTTGAGCCTAAGAGTTCAAGAGTGCAATCAATTATTATTGTGCTACTGCTCTGGTGACAGAGCGAGACTCAGTCTCAAAAACAATCAATCAAACAGGCCTCGCTCTCACCTGGGCGACAGAGCGAGACTCTAGTAGTTGCTAAAGTCTCTAAAGAAAAAAAGGCGCCAGGCGCTGTGGTTCACGCCTGTAATCCCAGCACTTTGGGAGGCCGAGGCGGGTGGATCACGAGGTCCAGAGATCGAGACCATCCTGGTCAACATGGTGAAACCCCGTCTACTAAAAATACAAAAAATCAGCTGGGCATGGTGGCGCGTGCCTGTAATCCCAGCTACTCAGGAGGCTGAGGCAGGAGGATTGGCTGAACCCGGGAGGGGGAGGTGGCTGAAGACAGCGATCGTCTTCCTATCTTCCCGCCGGGGTAAAAAAAGGGAAACTCCTCCTAAAAAAAAAAAAAAAAAAAGAAAAAAAGGAACACAGTGTGGCTATATTAATATCAGAGAAGAGATTAGGACAAGAAGTGTTACTAGAAAAAAAGACTGTCATTTCATAATAAAAAAGATTCACTTCAAGACATTATGGGCTGGGTGCAGTGGCTCACGCCTGTAATCCCAGGACTTTGGGAGGCCAAGGGGGGCAGATCACCTGAGGTCAGGGGTTCAAGACCAGGCTGGCTAAAATGATGAAACCCCATCTCTACTAAAAATACAAAAATTAGCTGGGTGTGGTAGCGCACAGCTGTAATTCCAGCTACTTAGAAGGCTGAGACAGAAGAATAGCTTCAACTCAGAGACAGAGGTTGCAGTGAGCCAAAATCTCGCCACTGCACTCCAGCCTGGATGACAAGAGCAAGCCTCCATCTTAAAAAAAAAAGACATTATGATCCTAAATGTGTATGTACTTAACAACAGAGCTTCAAAATACATGAAGCCAAAAACTAACTACAGGGAAAAACAAATCCAAAATAATAACTAGAGAACTTAACACCCTCTCTCAATAACTGACAGAATAAGCTGGATGCAGTGGCTCATGCCTGTAATCCCAGCACTTTGGGAGGCCAAGGTGGCTTTATGCCAGGTATTCAAGACCACCCTGGACAACATACTAAGGCACTGACTCTACAAAAACTTTTTAAAAAATTACCCAGGGCAGAGTGCGATGGCTCACACCTATAATCCCAGCATTTTGAGAGGCCAAGGCAGGCAGATCACTTGAGGTCAAGAATTTGAGATCAGCCTGGCCAACATGTTGAAACCTCATCTCACTAAAAATACAAAAATTAGCCAAGCATAGTGGTGGGCACCAATAATTGCAGCTACTTGGGAGGCTGAGGCAGGAGAATCTCTTGAACCCAGGAGGCAGAGGATATAGTGAGCCAAGATCAAGCCACTGCACCCCAGCCTAGGCAAAAGAGTGAGACTCCATCTCAGTAAATAAATAAATAAAGCAATCATTATAAAATAAAAAATAAAATTTTTAGGCCAGGCGAGGTGGCTGATGCCTGCAATCCCAGTGCTTTGGGAGGCCATGGAGGGGGGTGGATCACCTGAGGTCAGGAGTTCAAGACCAGCCTGACCAACATGGACAAATCCCATCTCTATTAAAAATACAAAATTATTTTGTATTTTTTGCCAGGCATGGTGATGCATGCCTGTAAATCCAGCTACTTGAGAGACTGAGGCAGGAGAATCAATTGAACCCAGGAGGCAGAGGTTGCGGTGCGGCAAGATCACGCCATTGCACTCCAGCCTGGGCAACAAGAGCAAAACCCTGCCTCAAAATAAAAAAATTCAGCAATTCCATTATTAGGTATTCCAAAAGAAATGAAAACATGTTCATACAACAACTCATCCACAAATGTTCACAGAAGCTTTTTCAAAATACAAACTAGAAAGAAATTAAATCTCTAACAAATGAATAAACAAATCACAGCATAAACATATAACAAAATATTACTTAGCCACTGATACATACAGCAACATGGATGAATCTCAAAAACATCATGCTGAGTAAAGTGATCCCTGCACAAAAGAATATATAGTATATGAATCCATCTGTATGAAGTTCTAGAATGAATAAAACTAATCTATGCTGGAAAAAAAAAAATCAAAACAGTAGTACCTTAGGAAAAAGACTTGCTAAAGGGCCTAAGGGAATTTTCTCAGTGATGGTAAGTAATGTTTTATTTCTTGGTAGGGGTTTCAGTTATGTAGGAATATACATTTGTCAAATTTAGATAATGTTCACTAAAGATATGTATATTTGTCCAGGCGCAGCGGCTCACGCCTATAATACCAACACTTTGGTAGGCTGAGACAGAAGGGTCACTTAAGCCCAGGAGTTCACAACCAGCCTGGGCAACACAGCAAGACCGCATCTCTACAAAAAACAAAAAAAAATTAGCTGGGCATGGTGGCATTCTCATGCAGTCCTAGCTACTCAGGAGGCTGAGATGGGAGGATCATTTGAGTCTGGGGAGTCAAGGCTGCAGTGTGTCGTGATTGCACCATCACACTCTAGCCTACGTGGTGAGAGAGACCCTGTCTTAAAAAACAAACAAACAGTGGGCGTGGTGGCTCATGCCTGTAATCCCAACACTTTGGGAGGCTGAGGTGGGTGGATGACCTGAGGTCAGGAGTTCGAGACCAGCCTAACCAATATGGTGAAACCCCATCTTTAAAAACAAACAAACAAAGTGTACATTTCATTGTTACATAATTTTACATCAAAAGAAAACTGTTAATGTCCATCAAGGAGAGACTGGTGACACAGATACACCATGGAATACTATGCAGCCATAAAAAACAATGAGTTCATGTCTTTTGCAAGGACAGGACATGGATGAAGCTGGAAACCATCATTCTCAGCAAACTAACACAAGAACAGAAAGCCAAACACTGCATGTTCTCACTCATAAGTGGGTGTTGAAGAATGAAAACACATGGACACAGGGAGGGGAACATCACACACCAGGGCCTGCTGGGGGTGAGGGACTAGGGGAGGGACAGCACTAGGACAAATACGTAATGTAGATCACGGGCTGATGGATGCAGCAAACCACCATGGTACATGCATACCTATGTAACAAACCTACACGTTCTGCACATGTATCCCAGAACTTAAAGTATAATAATAATAAAAAAAAGAAAGCTATAAGCAAATATTGAACCCTAGTTAATGACATGCATGCTGACGTATTTAGATCAAAGTGAAGCAATGTCTGCAATTTACTGGGGAATCCATCAGAAAAATAAAATGGGTTGATGGGTGGGCAGAGTGATAAACAGACGCTAGATATGGGATAAAACAAGTATAGCCAACATTAGTGGCAGAATCTAGGAGGGGGGTGTTCAAGTATTCACTGCAAAATTCTTTCAACCTCGGTGTATTCAAAACTTTTCATAAAAAAATACTGGAGATGGGAGAATGGGCTGGAAAAAGTAGACACAGAGGCTACACATTCCTCTTTCAAGGAAGACGGGCAATACTTGGTAAGAGGAAGAGCCTTAAAATAGAACCTGAACTTGGCCAGGCGCGGTAGCTATGCCTGTAATCCCAACACTTTGGGAGGTCGAAGTGGGCGGATCGTGAAGTCAAGAGACCAAGACCATCCTGGCCAACACAGTAAAACCCCATCTCTACCAAAAATACAAAAATTGTTGGGCGTGGTGATACATGCCTGTAGTCCCAGCTACTCGGGAGGCTGAGGCAGGTGAATCGCTTGAACCTGGGAGGCAGAGGTTGCAGTGAGCCGAGATTGCGCCACTACACTCCAGCCTGGCAACAAAGCAAGACTCTGTCTCAAAAAAAAAAAAAAAAAAAGAAAGAAAGGAAGGAACCTGAACTCAGCCTGGCATTAGATGTGCACAGGTAGGTGGGCTTTGGTTGTAGTCTATACCCAATTAGATGCACCTAATGGCAGTAATAAATCAGCCAGACATAATCAGACCTAGGGCATCTTCTGACATGTGACAGAAAGTCAACATGCACCATAACTGACAGATCTGATCAAAGTATCTCATTAAGAACACGTACCCCACCACGTAAACCAACAAGGGAAACATTCAGTTTCCATGTCTGATCAGAGAGCTCATGGTGACAACACACAGGAAGCAAATTTGATTACTTGAGGAAAAAACCTGCAAGGAATTTTAAACTACAGAATGGACATAAATATTTAAATAAAGGCTTCTCACTTTTTCTTCTCCAAGATACAAGTAACAACATATGTGAAATGATATCTCCTACTCCTCACTAGATTTCCCTTAAGAAGAGTACCACCATGGGTTTAGGCTGACCAGTCTTCTCACTTTCAGAAAACTGAAAAACCTCCTTGGGTTACAAGACTCACCACCCTAAGCTGCAAACAAAAGCCCAAATTCCATGTTCCTACTATGCTTATTAAAGGGGAAAGGGGATCACTTTCATTGTACACACATCTAATGCCTGTGATCAAATGCCCTAATTCTTAACATAATCCAAGCAAAAAATTGTTACTGTTTGGGCACACTTGGGAGAAAACGAAAAATGTCACATTTTTGGCACAGACACAGGGCTAAGGAAAAAATTTCCTATTTCTACTAAAAAAAAAAAAAATTGAGTGGTTCCATTGAGAAATCCAAATGTAAACTCCCTCATACCTGCAGAATCATTTCAAGAGCAGCTGCTGTTCTTGACTAAGGGTAAGAAAGCCAAGGAGCACAAAGTGCCCTAACAAAGATCCACTGTCCACAAGGACACAGCGATGCATGCAGAGGACACGGCTGGGCTCACTGCTCCCCCCACAGATCCAGGTACAAAGTCTGTCCCAGGTGAAATGAATGACATCCCTCACTGTGCCAGCTCCCAAAATACCACACACATTCTCCCAACCACAAAGATTGTGCTGTGATTTATGGTCTGCATACAACGCAGTGAAGGTTTTCCTGTCCCTCTGAGAGCTCTTCCATGCCCATGTTGACCGTGTAGACTTGGTCCTCAGAACTCACCCCAGAGACCCTAAGGCTGCTGGTAGATAATGCCAGAATGACTAGTAACATAAGGCTTGCTACTCTTCTGTCTTGATGAGTTATTACTGCACTCCTATATACAAACAAACTGAACTCCAGGATTTGATTCAAAATCCCCTGGTGCATTAGCCTTCTTTGGCTGCCAAGGCTAAGTACTACAGATTTCAGTGGCTTCCATAATAGAAACATATACTCTCAGAGTCTAGACGCTGGAATTCCAAGATCAAGGTAAACGTGGGGCGATTTCTCTTGAGGACTCTCTCCTTGGCTTGCAGATGCCTGCCTTCTCCATATGTCCTCAAATGATCATTTATTTTACTTTATTTTTTTAAAGACAGGGTTTCACCATGTTGGTCAGGCTGGTCTTGAAATCCCGACCTCAGGTGATCCGCCCGCCTTGGCCTCCAAAGTGCTTGGATTACAGGCGTGAGCCACCACGCCCTGCCTGATCATTTCTTTATCTCTGTGTCCTAATATCTTCTTATAAGGACATCAGTCAGATTGGATTAGGGCCCACCAAATTATCTTATTTTACCTTTATCACTTCCTTGAAGACTCCATCTCCAGGCCAGGCACAGTGGCTCACACCTGTAATCCCAGCACTCTGGGAGGCCAAGGTGGGTGGATCACAAGGTCAGGAGTTCGAAACCAGCCTGGCCAACATGGTGAAATCCTGTATCTACTAAAAATACAAAAATTAGCTGAGCATGGTGGCACATGCCTGTAATCCCAGCTACTCAGGAGGCTAAGGCAGGAGAACTGCTTGAACCCAGGTGGCAGAGGTTGCAGTGAGCTGAGCCACCGCACTCCAGCCTGGGCAACACAGCGAGATTTTGTTTAAAAAAAAAAAAACTCCATCTCCAAATACAGTCACATCCCTGAGGTCCAGGAGGTGAGGGCTTCAGCACATGACTCTGAGGGGACACTATTCAGAGCACAGACAGGAAAACAGGGATGAGGAGAAGGTGCACACGAAACTGACTGCCCACACATGGGTACAGTGGCTTCATTACATGATTTTTTTTTCTTTACATTGCTTTTAAAACTTTCATTAAGGTTTTCCTGATCACTCCTACCAATGCCTGCGTCCTCCATCTATGCCCAGGCTGCATTTCCTGCTCTGAGGCCACAGGCTCACCTTACACATTTCAGTCTCCAGCATCTGTGTCTGACACCATCAGTGCTAACAAACAGTTTAATGGGACAAGTGAATGCATGATGCAGAACACCTCCAATGGCTTCAAGTGCATACAGAACCAACACCAAACTCCCCAGCCCAAGGCCCTCCCAGGACTAGGAGGCCCATTCCACCTCTTCTCTATTTCTGAACTGCAGGACACAGTCCCGGTCCCAACCTGTCTGGAAGTGGCTGCTGCCTGCTCCATGTGTCTTCTGACATCCTATATCTCCCCTTACTCTCTAATTTTAGGTGTAAGTGACTTACTTTCCAAAGTGCAACATCCCTAACCCTCTTCTTGGTACGCTAAGCATGTAACAGGCATGCATGACCAAGTTATCTCATTAAAAACAGGTATCGTACCATGTAAACCAACAAGTAAATAGAGGATGATTTAAACGCTGAACAATTAGATTTATAGGACTTAATCATGACCATGTATTTACACTGCTGAGTGACCAGCAGGGGGCATTGCTGATGGAAATGAAGAAACTGGAAGATCAAGAGTAAGCGCCCGATTGGGGCAGATTGCAGGTGCCCTTCTCATGTGCAGAGTAGCCCTTCACTGCAATACTACTGCTAAAAGAAATGTTTTGCTTTATACTATCTTCCTCTGAAAGGATGCTCTGAGCAGCCCTTGAAGGTTCTGATGTGCTTTCTGAATCTAAATTATGACGGAATCTGACCATATATTGAAAATACATACATACATACTATGTAAATGGTAACTCTTCAAAACAGAAGAGTAACCAGCCTTATGGTGCCAATAGTTCTGGCCTCATCTACTGGCTGCCTTAGGTTCTCTGCTGGGCACCTCCTGCCAGGTTCTCCAGCCTCCCGACCCTGACTTACCGAGCTGTCATCCAAAAATCACTGTGATAGCTACCCAAGAGGAAAGATAAAACAAAACACAGCAGGTCCAATTCACCTTCTTAACCCAAGCATGGCTTGTGACAGTTACAGAATTAGTTTAGTGGGTCATGACCACCAGGTTTTTTTGTTTTGAGGCAGAGTCTCACTCTGTCACCCAGGCTGGAGTGCAGTGGCACGATCTTGGCTCACTGCAACCTCCACCACCCGGGTTCAAGCAATTCTCCTGCCTCAGCCTCACAAGTAGCTGGAATTAGAGGCACCCACAACCACACACCAGCTAATTTTTGTGTTTTTCGTAGAGATGGGGTTTCACCATGTTGACCAGGCTAATTTCAAACTCCTGACCTCAGGTGATCTACCTGCCTCAGCCTCTCAAAGTGCTGGGATTACAGGTGTGAGCCACTGCGCCCAGCCATGACCACCAGTTTTAATGGGAAAAAAAAAAAAATTAAAAAGTCAGACCGTTAAAGTATGGTTCCTTTAAACTTTCACTTCAGTTATACAGACAGCACACATATGTGTCCACATCAGGTCAGCATGGAGAAGGGATG